TCAGTAGTTACTCTATAGTAAAGTCAAAATTTTACTAAATAAATCGATCTACCTTATTAAGTGAAAGTTGTTCAGAAAATCAAAATACATATACAATCGACCTTCTCAAAACTGATCCTATCAAAACCGATAATCTGCTATAATCGGTCAAAAATCGATCCACCAGGTCTGTTTTATAATTAATATCTGATAACCTGCTATTTCTGATATCCAATCATCCTTATATCTAAGTTTCTGATGTTCCAGATAGTGTTACAAGAAATGTATCCAATCAAATCACATAAAAATTACCCGATTTCACGTGATTTAATGCTGTATTTCACAAAATTTTTATTAATCATTTAATTGTAAAACAAGAAACCGATTGTTTAATGCTCTACTATGAAGCAAGTTAATAATCACTACTAAATAAATTGAAGGTGACAATAGTGACAATATGTCTTTATACTTGCTAATAACGTTTATATTTTTTATGTTACTGTGAAGTCATCTCTATAAAAAAAATTAATCCATATTTTCTATTCCAAGTTTTATGGAATTTTTACAGAAAATACGGAAATAATCAAATAAGTTTTTTACAGAGCATACAAAGTTGCAATTTAATGACAGAAGAATCAGCCTCTTTTTATTTTATAATTGTAAAAAAAATATAATAATAATAATGATAATAATAATAATCCCTAATAATAATACCTACCTTTAAGTTTTTTGTAATTAGAATTACTACGTGATGCTAATTATTATTCAAACCAGAAAGAATCGATCAAGTGTGGTTTGAACCTGTTTTTCAGCTTCTTCCTTTCGAACCTTCTCACGAATATATAATTAAAACTTGCGCAAAGATTTCATTGTTACCCCACCATCATCAATTCTTTCATCAACAATTCTCAAAGCATTGCGCAGAATATCTAACTGTTTCTTTTTGGTTAAAGGTTGTGTATTATTTCATTTTCTACTTGTTCTACTTCTATAGCAGTTTGAATAAAATCTTCATCACTAAATTGCTGATATGTATCTATTTTTTCTTCCTCAAAGATTTAACAAATCTTTAATTGATATTGGATTCTGAAGGTGCAATATATCTAGTACTTGCTGAAGCTCCTTGGTAGCTAATTCATTATCCGAATCAACAAATGGGTTTTCTTCCACATCTTCAACAAGTAAGTCTTCTACATCTTCAATAAAAGAAGGTGAGACAACAGGCATTCTATTTTTATAAAGAGGTAGCGGGCAACAGACATTTCATCTTCATCATGAGAAGATATAATTTTTGCATGTAACTAGCAATTCTTGATAGTTCTAACAGATATTTTATCCCAAGTAATCTTTATCTATTTCATAGCTTGCAATTGGTCAATTTGATATATATAACTTTCCTTAACTTTATTACAATCAATTGCACGTTAAAGTTGTATACGACGATAATAAAGCTTGAATGATGCGATAATGCTAACGTCCATGGGCTGTATCTTTGATATTGTATACTGAGATAGTTTAAGCACTTTTGTGTTAGTTAGAGTGAGAGCACTAGTAGCATGTGAAGAGGTACCATCTATGATAAATAAGACATTATGATTTAATTCCTTCATTTCTTTGTCAAATTTTCTAACTATTCCTAAATATAGTAATATTGAATTAATAACTCTTTTTTATATAATTTTAATACTATACAATGCAATAGTAATAATCTTGATTTAATTATAAGGCTATGCAAAATTAATTAATTGGTTTTCATAACCCGGCTGGATCAAAATTTGAAAATTTCTAGCTAGGTCTTTAGAAGTTTTATATTACGAAACTAATTAAATTTGTATGGTCTAATTTTTTAACTTAATTTATAACCATCATTTT